TTCCAATTCTACCTTAGTTTTTGTTATTTCAAGAGTGGCCAGTTCCTCCACCCTGTGCGATTGGCTTCTGTTTGACTTCCAGAATCCGTAGTGCGCCGCAGCCAAATTTGCTCGCACTTGACTGGTTCGTCAAGCGATTTTTGGATTGCCAAATCGGCTCTTCCATGCTTGCTTAATTGCCATGAATAGTCGCACACACGAGTTCAAACAATGCACCATGATGTGGTCGAACGCGATTCGCTTAAGGCAAGATTGAGCACCAGTCACATAAAAACCCTTAAAGGCGTTGCAAAAATCTCGCCCAGAGCTGCAGAAATGACCGGATGCAGCGAGGAAAGTAATTTTTTGCAAACTATCATATAGGAGATAAGACCAACTGAATGTTGGTCAGACCGGAAGAATACGTGAGCATCAGTTGACCAGAAGATAACAGGATGCAACATCACTTGTTTCAGGAGGTTAGAAAAAAGGCGGCTTCAGTTGAGGCACCTTTCAGGTACTTCCCCATGCCCGGCGCGTAAAAAGTACCATACTTGACAGAAGATTTATCAACATTTAATTGAATGAACCAGATGGTTAGCGGTGGAATTAGCCATTTGATGGTTCACTGACGAGTGGCAGTGATTTCTCGTCTGGGAAGAAACGTTGGAATTCCATGTGCTCATCTCGGTGAACAAGGCAACAACAGGACTTGAGCAGTTGTCCGAGTGCGTAGTGCACTCACGCCAAACCACCTTTATATGTGAGCTCTCCTGAATCATCTGTCCGTTGCCATAGATTATAATATGCCATTTTAGTAATCATTTCTTGCAAATGTACCTCCCTGTAAAACGATTTTCGTAAATTCGACAAGAGAAATCATCGTGATTTTGAAAAATCCGCATGTTCTAAGTACTGTAGGCAGAGAGAGAGACCCAGGCAAATGTGCGTGACTGTTTCACTCAGTGAGTTTTCCAAATGAGCAATTCAGTATGCATCGGCTACTTACGCCCAAGCAGGAAGCAGAGTCTCGGTTCATGTACAACTGTTCCCAAAAATCCTCAACGTAGATGATATAGTAAAGCTCCTTCTCACTCAATCTTTGACTGGATAAGCCACAGCACGAGCAGTAAGCTTGTGACGGAAGTCCATTTTTCAACAAAAGAGTTACTGTGCTCTGTTTCTGTTGCGTAGACTCTGCTTGCCCAGTTTAAAAAAGCAATTTTGGAATCAGCGGTCACTTTCGAAGCTCTGGACGATACCGAAAATGAATATGCGAGAATTAGTCGATAACAGCACCTTGAGGTATGATAACCTCGACCGTAGTGTACATCAAAATTTGTTTGTTCCGTCTGGTAAGCCTCAGGTCCCGATTCCAATCTCCGTACCTCTCTTCACTCGTTCCTGTGTTTTCTTCAGTTCTACTTAGGGCTTACTTTCTTTTTTTGGATACCGAAATGAATGAACGGTTAAGGAAGCTTCATGGTTTTAGTAATTTAGAAGCGCACACTTACCCGCTGAGATAGGATCCCTTAAGTTTTCTCTGATACCAAAGGTCGTTCAGCGCTATAACGCTCTCATTGACTTTCAAGATAGCGAGTGGTAAGATGCGTGGATAGCACAAGACCAGTCAGTGCTAGATAGGACTAATCAAGTCCACATCACAAAGTCAGCTGAGAGTTATTGGAAGTTTAACATTGTATTATCTGTCATTTGAGTGTTATTTGAGTAGGTTTAACACCAATCGCACGGTCACAGTATATGCCGAATTTCGTAGATGTGATCAGGTCTGAAGAAGTTTAGAAAACACCGACGTTCCGGCCAGCAATAGAATACTCAAGCTGCTTGAAATTTCCACGTGACCTTTAAAATAATTTTTTCATCCGTTGCCCTATAACCAGAGTCGTGGCAGTGTTGGAGCAAAACCACCTACAGAAAACAAAACTACGAACGCTGTCTTTCCATAGAAAGGCAATCCTAGATGAGCCTCGCAATTATTTACTGTGGTCCTCTTCGTAATCATTACGAACACACAAGTGTTCCAAATGTCATAATATAATAAAGATTTCTGTTGCTCAGTGGAAGCAATGATGAAAAAGTCGTACTTGGCTAAGACTCATCAGAAATTATATAAGATTCCACCAAATGTGAATAATTGTTGAAGTCAGAACAACAGAACAGGTCTGGTGATATCTGTCAAGTATCTCTGCCAACTGTGGCGTCATCTGATCAAATAATCAAACCCCACCGATACTTTGGGCATCATGTGGATGAAGGCTCATGAGTAGGTTTCTGTTCGCCAAAAGCGAACGCGTGTCATATTTGTTGAGCATAACACCCATCACACACGATATTGATCTAGGTGATTCTCGACAGCCAAGTCAACATCCGATGCGGGCTAGGTTAAACATTTTGTGCAAAAGAGCGAACACAGACACAAAACTTGTGGTACCAACACAAGCCACCTCTGCGTATCAAATGAATTGTGAGTTAGGCATACATCGAAATGAAAATATATCGGGGTTGTCTCGCTTAAACGGCAAGTTGTTCATTCTAAAGAGGATCATTTTAAGATAACGCAACCAAGGCTGGCCCAGTTTGCGTTTGCTTCGCATACAGACAATTTTACTTTGTTTCCAGGTGCGCCATTTACAACGCATGGCGTATTTTCTCAAATATAATGGACAGTGTTTCCATCGGTTGATTAACATGCTTTCGTCCAATAGAATACCAAGAAGTTAAAATCGGTCTTCCCAAAGGTGGATTAGTGGCAGAATTTCACTATTCGTGGAATCATTGTGTCAATAAAAGTATATTTTTATAGCGAAATGCACTCATTTGCAAACTGATTTGGTTTTTCGGGAGACTCACCTGAAACCCGGCTGAATCTTCCGCTTGTGATGTTTGTGATGATGAGTAGTAAATTACAAATATAATTTTGATAGTTTCTATCATATATACACCTAAACTTCATTATATTCTGTTTGATGAAAGTCGACCCAACGTCGACCTCAAGCTTTTGCCGGGCAAGCAAATCCGAACTCAGTGTTCACGCGTTTCTTGGAAACGGATGTTCCACATTGACTTTGTTTCACCTCGTCTGGCTCACTTATCCATTTGGACGTTTCTCATATCATGGATTTTGGGGGAGAAACTGATATGCAGTTTGGAGTATCAGTAAACTATCCATGCAGATTTCAATTTTGCTAAACAGAGGCTTATCTGAATTTCCAAGATAACTCCAATCAGAATGATCTATTCTTTTGATTGCATCTGAATGACGTAGATCTACACCTCCTTGGCTTTCGGTGTCCACCAGACTTCTCGGTTGGCGCGCACGATTATCTTCACTTGACGTCTGATAATTCGTCCCGTCAAGCAATGTTTCAGTTTGGATGGGCTATTCCTCCAAAATTTAAGAAGTGCTTTAGTGAACCTCGTAGCGCCAAGCCACAGACAAAACTCCCAGCAATGTGTGAAGAGGTGTAGCTCTTGTTTCAGTATAAATTTACATCTAATGCAGTTAGAAGAGACTCTAGAAGAGGATGGTAGTAAATTAATTTGAATGTGGGATATGCCAGTCCCTTAGTTGCTAGTTTATATATTAAAACCTAGCGCGGTCCAGGAGAACGCATGGAGAGGCGAATTCACTAGAGCGGGTAGTCGGAATCCACACACATGTATCAAAACGAGTGGCGGTCACTTATTGATGGCATTTGACAAGTTTGAGTTTGTACCTGGCACGCCGTTGGATGACAACACTTAGCCAGATGGCTGGTTATTTCGAAAGTTAGTACTGCACAAAACCAGCATTCGGTAAGCAGACAGCTGAAGGTGTACGTACGTACCGAGGTCATTCAATTTCATTTACCATATCCAGTCTCAGATGGGCTAAGCCTGCTCACATCCTGCTCATCCACCACGATGTCCAACCTTCTGGTTCACCGCAACGAGGCATTCGAGGCGTCATAAAACTTGTCTTCTATGATGTTGGAGCCACAATCATTTGGGGTGTGAACACACATGACAAACAGAAAGGGGATCAACTTCCCGGTTGTGACATTCCTTCACGGAGGTTGCCAGACGAACCGCACAGGGACGACTATCAAGTATCCTTCCGCCTTAGGACGATACATACCCCTGCACATCCTACTAAAATGGTCTCTGAATCACGAGAGGTGCCTAGCCGGAAGGCAGTGGAGAGCGATGCGTCTTGAATTCCTGTTTCTTACACATAGCACATATCAATATCCAGCGAGTATAGAATGAAATCAAGAGCAACCTCTCATTCAACTTGCTTCGGAGTGCAAACACCAAAAGCAGTCAAATATACTTGGTGTCAAGCCGTAAAGATTGATTTCGAGCTACTTAAGGATGTCACCGCCGGATGACGCGCAGATGTTGCTGCCAAAAGCTACGCAGAGCTAACTTACGAGCCTACAAGGAGAGTTATTAATAAGGTGTGGGTCGGAAAAGGGTATTTATAAGAAACAGAAAATATTAAAGTGTAAGGAATGGCCTGTTTTTGCTTATCCGCCCTGTAATATGCAGCAAACTATACGACCCGGATTGTGAAGCCAGCCTATATGACATGAGTTCGTTTGTATATGTGCAATTCATGGTTGCACGTTCGCTGGGATACTGCCAGGGCGCCCAGACACAAAAAGGATGACGACTTGGGCTCTCAACCGAAGCCTGACCGCAAGCCGGCGGTGTTTGTTGGCAAGTGCAGTTGTATCCATAGAACAAATTGTCACGCCTGCTGCAAAGACCAACCTGAAGGGCCAGTAGACCAACCTGGTATGAAAGACTGTATTTCGCACGGATACCTCACTATAGCTCAATGGGTCACGGTGGCACATGAATCGTCACACTCGATTTACATGCAACCACGCTGTAACGGAAATGCGGAACAATAACAATCTCTTATGGTTCGGTTTCGCATAATAACATCCATTTAGTAAGGTCTGTAATCTTGTTCTCCTGTTAGTTGAGGACGTAAGATTAATTTTTGTAAGAGAATCGATGAACCTCATTTTCTGCGCATTACTGAAAAGCCAGTTTTTCGCTTTAGGCAGAGAAATTTTAATAGCAGACAGAAGATGTACTCTGCCCTACCGTTTTCATCAACTTTTGCCAGCAATTTTTCGGAGGAGACCAAGATTTGTAAACGTTAGGTCGATGTATCGGGGGTTTAAACGTTTTAAATGTGCGGAAGACAACTGTAATTCACTGCATGTTTCTGCTTGCCTCTCTGTTGACCCTGATTCCCAAGTTAATTTTGGCACAAGACATTTTGAAGAAGTCAGAATACGAAAATAGCAACTTAAAGGAGCATCGCTTTGGGAAAATTATAAATGTCGTGCAACTGTCCCTGCTTGTTTCGAACATCACGTTGGCCGATTATGCCATGCAAATTTTAAATCAAGTTAGACCTATTAGGAACGAACTTCCTCGTGCGTTTACACTTTTCGGAAAATTTGCAGTCATGTTACTGCGCAATTTGTTCTGCAACAAAGCCCATGAATTCCTGATACGTTAGTTTTCCATCGCCATCCACATCGTGATCTGCTATCCAGTCTTCCAGAGTGCTTAGTGCAAAATGCATTCCCATTTCGTTGAACATTTGCTGTAATTCCCGTTTGTCCACTTTTCCCGATCGGTCGGAGTCCAGCGTGACAAACAAACGTTTCCACCTGTGAACACAGAGCAGTCGTGAATTTTAGTTGAGATGCTGAATATGAAAATTCCACTTGCAAATTATATCTTGGTGTTAAGCTGTACTCTCAGGGTGTGCCAAATAATGGCTACGCAAGGTGAGGAAGCACTCTACGTTGGTAAACCTGCATGCAGTCATTTATCAAGCAAGCTGTATTGTTCGGTTTTATGTGGACTGTTTACGTTCCGACATGAGAACCCGTATGTCCTTCGGATGTGAACTAAAGGCAGTTTAGGTCTATTCTAGAGATTTGTTGTTATTAGACTAAGAGGAAGGAAGTTGTGTTTGAGGGAAAAAAGGGAAGCCGATTCAGGATGCTGTCAAATTTTCAAAAGTATAGTTATGGCGAATAAATTAAAACATCGACTACGGTTTGTGGCCAATACGTCGTAAACATTGTGCCAAAGTCCAATTTCGTAATTAATAACGCAAAAGCATCATTTTATAAGCTACCAGGTCCTTACTGGCATTCGTCCTAAGTTGCGTAGGTGGAAAAGCCACAAGAAACCGACCAAAGTTCGAAGAGCTTCTTGACAACTGCAGTTGAGAGCTGATTCCCCCTTTTATCCGTTCCAGAAGTACTCCTAGCATAGATTAATTCTACGTTACCTTAGCACCAGTACCATTTTGGTGAACCTGCGTCAAGCCAGGTTTACCTTCTTGAAAGTATTGGTCTGTCTTTTTAGATCATTCACTTTGATAAGCGTTCTCCAGAAAGAATTAACATGGAAGTTTGTCTCATGCTACATATCGTCGCTAGTTGTTGTCCAGTGTCTCTAATATTGCTACGGATTTCACATATTCGCCAGATGTCAGAACTGTTTTCGTGACACTCTTGCTAGAATCTTACTGAGGAAAATTGATACATTTATCCTCATATAGTACTGCGCGATATCACTTGATTTATCCTGCTTACATCAGTGACCCTCATTTTTGTTAGCAAAAACGATTGCAGCCCAGCCTCCCATGATTCATCTAATGTATCGAAGGACCGGTGAATCGCAAGAGTTTACTACTGGTTAATCAGTTGGGTGAGGACCCGCACAATGATGCTGTCTCCTCGATCGGTGACGATGCATATGCAGGCTCCCAAAGACCAGGATCAACGACCAGTAAGACTCATTCGTCCGATGAAACCACCGGAAAGTCAGCGGGCCATCGACCAGAAGAGCATTAAGACGATTGTTGAATAATGGGAAATAATTGCCCAGGTTAAGATTCTCCTGCTTGAAATACTGGTGACCAGGCCACGTCTGTTGATCCTTTGTCAAAAGATCGTTGATCTGTTCATCAAGGTTAGTAACGGATTTTTCTCCTAATTTTCTGGAAATTTTGACAATTTTTGGTAGTCCAAAATCTGAGTTCAAACCGTTCTGTTGAGTTATTGTTAACTTAGCCTAACACATACCTGCACTAAACAGACGACATCTCTAGCATCAGGAAACGAGGGTGTGTACACAATGCAAGTGAGCTCCTCAACATCTCGTTTGAAGATATCATATTTACAATCGAACTGGATTGGAACAACCCACTACAGTTTCTTGACGTTTTAGGATGGGACTCTGGAAATCTAAGTACATGGAAAAGATACACATACGTATCAGATGCTGAACTAAAGAAGCAGCCATCCGATAAACCACAAAAGCAGCTGGGTTCAAACCCCGTTTAAGGGGGCACACAAATATTGCAGCAGCACACAAATAAGGAAAAAGGAATAAAACCATAAATTTAGAGTATTCCAGAGCAAAGAACAGCTAAGGAATTTTATCAAGAGAAGCTTCAGCAACAGCGGTAAGGACGAGTGACAAGACGGGTAGCTGCACCTTGCATCAAGAATATACCTGAACTCACTGCCAAGTTATTAACTCAAAAAGAGGTCCTCGTGACTCACAAACCGATAAAGATATTACGGATACTGATTGCAAGAACGAATGACAACAAAGATAAATCCAAGAGGGACAATGTTGGATACCGACTCAACTACAACAACTGTAACTAGTTACACGGTGAACATACTGGGAGGCAATTATGCAGATGAATAAAGGAACCAAATACGACCAACAAAATATATGATCCCCTTGATATTCATTCATCAAGATGAAGAAGGATACAAATTCAATCTGAAAAACACAAAACTCTTGAAATATGGGGACATAAGACGTGGAAGAGAAATTCCGAAAAATTGGTATTCCACGACGGATGCGATCAACTGATTCATTAAACCAAATCCATTTTACGAACCACTATATGCGAAGGAACAGTATTTCAACCAGAACATTCAAGGTGAGCCGAATATTTCGTGGACGAACCAAGAAATGTGAAATTCCTTGAAGCCAGATCAACAAAGTTCACAGGTCAAGAAAGGAGGTCATTCCATCACCGACTGAGGTGCGAGAGCAGGAGAGGCCAAGCAGAAACGTCACGTGGGCATCAATGAACTAGAATTGTGATCGAAGGTCATTCCCAGCTAGCACCACGTATCTTGATGCAAACGCAACACTGCTCAAAGCACAACGACGGATCCATCGCTAGGCTCCAGGATGCTTCCTAAAAGTGCACCGTTGAGTCCTAGCGACTAGTATTGAGAAGTTTGCCAAGAGTGTCTAGCTCGGAGAACAAACCAACAACCATAGATCTCTAATCACCTTGCACTTATATTGTAACGACAAATATGAGACAACATTTGAATGTTTCCGAAACACTCCTAAGCCTTGTTATTAAACGGAGCCATAGCCCGATACTGAAGTGAGAGCAAGTAATGAGGAAACCAGCGACAGAAATTTGCCTTGAGAAAGACGTCCAAGACACTGACACATCTCGTGCGACCAACTAAGGGAAATCTGACACTCTTCTGTCTATAATTTTCGGCACCTGACAAATGTGACCAACGTGGTTTATGGAAAGTAATCGGAGTCAAGGCGGTGGGCCGATTCTCCGACACTCGCATGGTCCCCGTAGTAAGTTAGAGCAGTTTAGTAGGCAACAACATTTTCGAATAAAGGTTCAAAGCCGAAGGTCTGAAGTAACTGATTACACCCCAACATTTCACCGTGCTGGAAGGAATTTGAGTAGAGTAAAACAAATTCTCTGTATGTGGGGTGGAAATACGGGACATTTATCCCCTTGGAAATGATGCCGATGCATGCCAGCACCCATAGATATTGCACTACGGTTGTTCCATTCAAGCGCTTCAGTTGAAAGTGAAAGTACTTCCTGGTACGGTTTGAACGCCTTTTTGTAGCCCAGGCGATATGTACATATTGCAGAGGCGAAACGGAGTATACCTTGGTGTTGCTGTATGTGGTCACGATGCTTGTAGTGGCCATTTATCCAAGAAAGCTTAAGGGTGTTTTGTGACGCAACATATCTCAGTCTTCCAGAACAATTTAAGTCTCGGACCAACCAAAATCTTTACAGTTCGACCACGGTTGTAGAATCCTGTGCAGTGTGTTATTAGTAGTTTCCTTGAGCTTCATTTGAGCACATATATGCTGACTGAAGCAAGTAGACGGTGTAACTTCGTTCTGGTTTACAGTCAGCGCAAGGTATCGGTCGCTTACCGGGAGCAATAAGTTAAACGATAATCACCTGAAATAATTCCAAATCAGAGATCATGAAGACACGCACTTCTTATTGTGCGGCCGATTGTGTCCATACTGGCTGTGACCGCCAATATTGAGGTGTTCCCATGGCTCTAAATAACCTTCGGATGGTTTCAAATAACACAACACACGTTTCCAAAAATTCAACCGCAATTTAGGAAGGAAGGTTAACTGATCAACTTTTGCCGCCCAATCACACCAAAGACGAGTGCTACTAAATCAGATGTGCGCCGGTATTTGTTTAGTTTTCATGAATTAGAGACGCTGATTCGGAGATAGTGCTATTTGGGTCTTCGAACCCAGCAGATATGAATTCTTCATGCGAAGTTCACAAAAGCATCTAAGGCTTGTTCCGGGCGATGGCTGGACAAGTTGGACCACGCTAGTATGCTCTAAAAGGAAACCTGGAATTCGTTTGTACGAATCGTTGACAAGAACGCAGGCATGTCACAGGTAACATAAACATGCAGATATATCCTCTTTCATCTTTACCATTGTGAGGTTCCAGAGGTTCGTTGGTGCATTATACACGACAGCTTAACAGGTACAATGATACCCAATAATTTAAAAAAACCACATTGTTCTCTCCTAAATTAGACCTGTTTAGTGAAGCAACACAGTTCAGGCTACTGCTAGCAGTCACTATCTGCGTCAGATATATAATGAGACGAAGCATGCCTTTTAGGGTATTTCTTGAGTTTATCCTTTTGAGAGCCCATCTTGAAAAATTTGATTAGCGTACTGAACGATACAGATTTTGTGTGAAGTTTTCATCCCTTACATAAGGTGTTCAGAGGCTAAACGACAATAAGTTCAGCCTTTTATTTGTTGTTTCCACATACGAATTAACCAATACACATTAACTTGATATATTCACACAGTGTCGGGGACCATATTCACCGATGACACCTGCAGCATATGAATTAATAGGCGATTGTCCCGTCTACAGGAGTTAACCGCAATTATTCGTTCTAGTGTAGTTCTTAATCTCTGCTTTGTCCACCATAAAGGTACTTGGTATTTCGTCTCCCAGGCACACACAACCAGTGGTTGACGGTCAGTTGCGTTTTGCATGTCAGGCTAACTTTATGACGGTAAATCTGTAAGATTTCAATGCCAACTTTTCAGTGGCCCCTAAAGGCAGGAGGAAGATAGGAAATTTATGTTCACTCTGAAGTGATCAGAATGAACATCAAGCAAATCGCACCACTAATAATGATCGCCACACTAGAGTTTTCCACTTCTGTTGCGACAACATTTGGTTAACGATCAGAGAAAGCGTAAAAACCACTAAGATGTAATACACAAATTTTTTGAACTAAAAGTGAAATGCTCAAACTCGTAGTCCAGATTTTTCAATCAGAAGGCTATTACA